GCACAAACAGGTGCTTAACCAATGATCTATTTCGTTGAGACGGAAGTAGATTCTGCAGGGTTAAGGTTTGGAAATATTATCCCTTATTCTTGAAGTTTTAGGTCTTAGGTGCCAAGGATCACACTTCGGGCATGATGCCACACCTTGGGAAGACCTGATTCTACCATAGGTTGTAAAAATGAACTCGAAATTGGATCGTGAGAGAGACAAACCTAGACTTAGGTTCTGTAAGCTCCTGCCGAAGTTAGAGGGGTCTGTTTGGTAGGCCTCTATTGAAGCAGAGCAATACCGTTCGATGAACCTTTGCCGAAGTTGGAGGGGTCTGTTTGGTAGGCCTCTATTGAAGCAAAGCAATACCGTTCGATGAACCTTTGCCGAAGTAGAGCATGTTCCTCGATGCATCCTTGCCTAAGCAGGGCACCACCATTTAGTAGACTCTAGCCAAAACTAGGTCTATACCGTTCGGTACCTCCCAAACGAATTGCTGAGGTACCTTTCTCTCACAAGTATGGTAGTAATCAGATTCGAGAATTTGGTAAACTTCCACTCTTTACACTGCTGCTTCAGAAGTGAGTTATAAACATGGAAAGATGAGAAAAATTATTCTCAAGTCGAAATTCTATCAGATTTATAAATTTCAGAATCGTACTCATTCATGGACGTAATTATGGTGTGCTTCAGGCAATATCTTTCATGATTAAATAGGTCGTAGAAGCGAGCCAAATAGCCATGGAATCCTCATTCGGGGGGTATTTCCATTTATAATGCTTCGAGCATAAGTCTTCACATGAAGATCATGGCAGAGGCTTATTCAACTCTTCCTTGCCATTGTTGGCTATAATGGTTTCTCAGCTTCTTGATAGTCAAGTGGAGATTCACATCTTGTACCCACATAAAGTGGTTTAGGTCAAGAAATGTCCAAGTCAGTGAAATCAAACTTGTTATGGTTCGACAACCCACTAAATGGAGGGAACAATATTGTAATTGGTGCTATGAAAATAAGATATCCATAAGCATCAAAGTTAGAACATTCGGGTTCTAAGACATGGTTTACATGAAAATCGTCAGGTTTACATGGGTGTATTGTTTAAGAAAACTTTGGGTTTCAAAGGCACTAAATTTGAAACTACATGTTCGAGTTTAGTTATGAACTTTTGATTCATAAAAAGAAGTACCTGTAAGAACACATAATACAATATACAACTAAGTGCAGTGGATTTGGGTTGCTTCAGGAACTCAAGTGTGAGTGCTTCGGGACTATGAAAGGTGGTCAACGATTCAAAGAAATGAAGTAATTTATTGAATCATTAATTGCCAAAAAGTGAACTTCAGGCTAATAATTTTGGATTATTTGTCAGATTAATGGATTGCTGGTCACTTTAATTAATTCAGTAGATCGTAACCATTTAGGTTTGATTGTAGAAGCAAAAAGAATAATAACATTCAAGTTAAAATTATAGAGAATGCCAAAAATAGCATTGGATTCGAAAAACCATAGCCCAATATATGTGAGCTTGGGTGTCGTGTGTAGGGCAAGGCCCTAAAAGGGCTTAGTAGTCCACGGGCTGCTACGGGGCAACCTAATCATGGCTGCAGGCCATGGCATTTTTTGGGCAAGCCCAATCGCAAAGGCTGGCTTGTTGTGGTCTCAAGCTGGAGCACTAGCAAGCCCAACATTCGGTGGTTAGGTTGAGGCGCTACAAAGCCTAGCCGAAGCTGGCTTTGTGGTCGGGCCGTGACATGGCGAGCCCAGCAGCCATGAAAGCTGCTACAGGAAGGCCGGGGCAAGGGAATGAGCCCAGCAGGCTTCAGACATGCTGGTTATATGCCTAGGGCTCAGGGACAAGCCCAGCAAAGCTTCGGGCTGTGCTGGAGTAGGCTAGGGTTGCAGGCCCGTTTTATAAACCCAAATCAGGCCTTCGGCCTGGCTGTCTAGTGCATGCAGCAAAGCCCAAAGGGCTGTTGTAGAGGTCCAGGATGTCAAACGACGTTGTCCCAAGGTGGTGGCGTGGTTGTAGGCTTGCCAACTTGGCTCGGTGCCAACGGTGGCACAGCATGGAGCCGTGGCTTGGTAGCAAAAAAAATCCCACATATATATATATATATATATATATATATATATATTTCAAACTCTAGGGTTAAAAACCCTAATTGCTTCTAAATTAATTTTGATACTTTGACTCACAAATTCCACATAGCATAATTTTGTATTGCATGAACAAGTATAGATATTGACAAAATATATGAACACATATACAATATGTATAATTGGAAGGAAAATATAAATATAGGGGGTTCATGCATCATGGGGAATGTTTTCATGCTTCAAGGTTTTTTCAAATATTTTAATTTATTTTAAAGGAACCTGATTGGTAGAAAACAACTGAGCCTTTGAATTTCTCTGAAAGCTGGAATTGCATTTTCAATGCGCTGTATCACGTTCAACAAAGAAAAATTAAATTGAATCAATAGCATGTAGATCAATTCAATAAAATAATAAATTAATCATAAAAAGAATGATTAAAACTTAATACTCCCCTGATTGAAGATCAAACTCTCTTTAGCACAGCGTCAAGAGCGTGTTGATAACATGTTGTAGGCCTAATTTACTTAATCATATAAAGGACAGAGAGTGCGGCACAGTAGAGGGAAAGAGAGAGATGTGTTATTATGAGGTGTGTTCTTTTCCACCTCATTGTGCCTTTATTTATAGTAGTATGGAAGGTTAATTCATTGCCCTAATAAGATTACAACTCTAATAGGATAATATTTGATATCCCTAGATACACTAGGATTTACACAATCACATTCATAATCTAATAGGACTACAACAAAAACAACATTAATCGAACGGAAGCTGAAGGTCCAATTTTTATTACGAAACTTTAAACTACGTTTTGGAGACTAAAACGACTATGGATGGCCAAAATCCATCTTATATCACATCATAGTGGTGGTGAGTTTGGACCATGGCGTAGTTCCGTTTTTGAAAAAGTATCACGGGTCCAAATCGGAGCTCAAACACCAAATCTACAAATTCAAATCAGAGCTCAACCAAACTCTCAAAAGCGTTCAGCTCAATCCAAAAGTGTTCTTCAAAACCAATCCTCAATCGATCGAAGTGATCCTCAATGTTTATTGCTCTGCTACCTTGCAGTATGATTTTAGTTAATGTCTCTCCCAACTAAGTTTCCTCGTTGATGACAAATATTTTCAACTTAGTTTAACCTGATATCATGAATCGCGCCTGCTTCTCATGGCTTGAATGTTGCTTGTTTCACGGCTTGTTCCATTTCAAGTGTATTTTCTTTGAATCTAGTTAATAGTTTCTGCATTTCTATGAATTGTATTCTTCTTTTAGCTATGGAGTGATTAAGATCAGTTTTTCTTCATCTTCTTTCGTTATTACGTTTTAGGCAGGCACAAAAACAAAACAAAACAATTTCAATTCCTCAATCATCGAGGTATAGAAAAGAACTTTGAGTCCCATTCGGCACTCAATCTTTGGTTTAGAAGTTAAGTATAATCACAAAAATCTACAACATCATTACACAAGCAGTGGCCTCCAACAGTGGCGTGGATGCAATCTTCTTGTGCTCAAGCCTTCATTTGGCGCTGAGATTGAAGGAAACACTCGAAGCAAACTTCGTATTGACGAAATAGAGCCTCCGTCCGATTATGGCACCAACAATAGTTTATCTTGGGATGCTGTTTACATAGTTTTTCGCATGCAAATAGAGAGTACAATAAGGAAACTGTTCATCGATTCAAAATCGTAAACATATAGTTAATTCACATGCAATCGGAGTTTTCTATACCACTCGGGGTCAAATGTGGACAAGGTAATTGAGTTTCTTGCCTTCCATATTTGGTTGTTGTCATTTTTGTTTTTGAACAATAGCCTATAACAATCTTAGTAAATATGTCAAACACCAAATCAGTTACACAACGCACAAGGTCACAGATACACACCGTGTCTCTTGCTAAGTACCCTTAAATTACATATTCACATGTAAAAGGGCCAAGTAAACTTCCAAGAAAGGAACACCAGATAAAACTTTAGCTTATAACCCCTTTGCTTTAGTATATACTCTGTTTCTTGTATAAAAAAACATTCTTTTTGGTTGTGGATATGATCACTTACAGGACCATTCACATGCTCAACAATTTCGTGGTACTAGCATGCTTCTATCACTACCTACACCAATAATTGGTGAAAGAATATAAGTGTCGTACATATGGGTATTAATCCATTAACCATATATATTAGGTATTACTGACCACATTCACAAAGATAGGATGCTTTAGTATAATTTATTTATTTAGCTTTATACTACATCTAGATCATACTCTCACTATTTTCGTTTAGAAAAAGAGCACATACGCTAAATGTTGCTATTTTGTTTAAAATTGTGCTAGCAATAGTTATACATATACATACGGTGTTAACTATTCATATACCAGAATTTAAATTGTAACACTCAGTTAACAGTCGCTCACAACTGTCCAACTATATTCATAACATAATTTTGCGTACATAAACGAGTGAAAGTGGATGTCATAACCACAGTTCACAGAGAATCATCTCTCCTATATTAATAGTAGTATTTTTCATCAGTTCGATTATCACTCACCATCATATGGTTATCATAATATAATCCCCAGCTGACACGCCACATGCTAAATACCATTCTTTCTCTCTCTCTCTCTCTCTCTCTCTCTCTCTCTCTCTCTCTCTCTCCTTTAAGTTTCAATATTGATATTGATTTCATTATTATAATTATTATATTTTGTGTGCGCTGCATATGCATGGTCATCATGTACCTTATAAGCCAATAATTGGTACAACATGTGGTCAATCACCAAATGCAGTATAGTACATATATCATGCATGCGGCTGTACCCAGTACAAAAACTTATCGGTGCCATCAGCATACCTCTACTTATAAATAAGAAGAGAGAGAGTCACAGAGAAACACAATAGAAGACCTATTGTGAGCATTTGTAATTTCTTTCTCTACTAAAACTACTAGCCAGTATGGTGCTAACTAAGGTAGCTGCTGAAAACTCGCCAATAAGGGTGCCTTTGCTTCAACTGGTGGTGAGAGAGTATGATGAAGAACGTGATAAGACGGCCGTGGAGGAGATGGAAAGGAAGTGTGAACTTGAGCAGCGTGGAAATCCTTCTTTAGTCACTGATCTCATGGGTGATCCTATATGTCGCATTCGCCGTTTCCCGACACACGTTATGCTGGTAATTAACCTCTACGTCATTAACACTTTATTTCGAAAACAGATAATATATATACATAGAGTAATGCTAAGTAGACCAAATTTTTAAACCACATTTGCAAACTAAATGATGTGGTTGTACATGATTGGGTAGTTCCATAACATATTGGTTAGCTAGGTATATGTAAATTACTAGCTAGTAAAACCCTAGTTTAATTGTTTAATGTTAGACAACTTTTATTGACACTCCAAAAATTTCATTGTGCACTCGTTACAAGTATATTTTCTTTCTAAATATAAAAAATCTCAAATGCATGCACAATTAGAATTTTGAAGTATCACTAATAATTCCCTAATTTTATTTCATCTTTTAATTACTTGTATGCGAAGAAATAGAAAGAAAAAAAAATAGAGCATGATAGACAATATATATAAATAAATACAATTTTAATATTTGTTCATTTTTTATTTTTCGTTAAAATTAATAAAACGCAGTTGTGAACAGATTGCAGAGTACGGAGAACAAAATATAGTTGGTGTGATAAGGGGTTGTGTAAAAGAGGCAACATCAGGCAGTTCATTTTTTGTAAGGCTTGCTTATATTTTGGGACTTAGGGTCTCTCCCACGCACAGGTTCTCTCTCTCTCTCTCTCTCTCTCTCTCTCTCTCTCTCTCTATAACTTCAATATGTTGATTCCATTAATCCATTAACTACATGAACATGCAGATCATTTACCCCAAAATTGTATTAGGAAGATAAGAGTGACCAAAACCTTGGTATCGATCGGCATGTTAATATTTGCATGAATTTTTGCTAGCTATGAAGGCAAGAAATTACAACAGTAGTTTTCACTATTTTCTTTTCTCTCTCTCTCTCTCTCTCTCTCTCTCATGTGAATAGATACGTGGTTGATTCTAATCTCATTCCCAACCCACCAAAAAATAAATAAATAAAAAGAGAAAAAAAAAAAGGAAGAAGGTGAGAGTGATTTAAAGGGAGATTAGATTCTACCAAAAAGAGAAATGCAATGTTCCTCGTATCATGGAAAGGAGCAAAAGCATGCAACTAGCTAGGTAGTTAGCCTGTCCTCGACACATGTATCGACCAGCGACCTTACAAAAAAAAAAAAATTAAAGAAAGTAAATGAAATCTTAGATGGAATGTAGTTCCCCCTATTCCCTTATTTCTACCATGCATATTGTCTCGTAGCTATTATATTACGAGAAAATTTTCAAATTGTCCAATATTCAACCAGATATTTCATGTGTCATAAAATAAATGCATCGTCTTAAAAAAATTATCTTCTCCAATTGTATTATAACATGTGGTGTACCCCTAAAATACCGATACTTGAAGAAACCTCTCCTATATTACCTTATCCACACAGTGCATGTGCTCTACTATCCACCCCACCTTTTGATCAATATTTTGTGATTCCTCTTTCTCTTTCTTTTTTTCTTCACTACCTATAGACAAAGCCTCCTTTGGATGTAAAGCGAGCCTGCTGACAAAATAAATTGATATCTTAGCATATAAGAGTGCTAAGAAACTGCCGATTAATTTGCAATACTTACAAATTAGCTTCATAGTAGGTATATCCCATTCCATATCCGTTGTTCATTGAGCGGGATAGGATTGTGACCTTCTATTGACTGTTTCGTGGCCGAAGTACATACTACGTAAAGAGCATTCAGAGTTCATTACTTTTGCCCTTTTTTGGATCCACAATATACAAGTGTTCTACGGGAATAAATGTGGTCACGAAACAGTTAATACGAGAGTACTATCTATTACGCGAGTGGAATCCCTTAAGGAGTGTAAAAGGTTTCTTATTGTTGTGACGTATTTAATTTCCATGCAGGAGGCTAGGCATTGGTACAAAACTGGTCACACATTTGGAAGAATGGTGCAAGCAAAACGGAGCAAACTATGCATACATGGCCACAGACTGCACAAACGAGGCTTCTATCAATCTGTTCACAATAAAATGTGCATACCAAAAGTTTCGCACACCCACAATATTGGTCCAACCAGTCCATGCACACAAGAAGCCAATATCCTCGACCAAAATTGCAATCGTTCAACTTCCAGCCAAGCTAGCCGAGTCAATCTATTGCCAACTCTTTGCCCAGTCAGAATTTTTCCCCAAAGATATCCACACCATTTTATCTAGTCACCTCAATTTGGGTACTTTCATGGCCCTACCGAAAAAGTCCCTCCTCCAGTTTGATCCACAAAGGGACACTACTCTGCCTACAAACTTTGCCATCCTCAGTGTTTGGAACACGAAAGAAGTGTTCAAGTTGCAAGTGAAGGGAGTGTCGAGCCTAACGTATGCATGCTGCGTGGGGGCTAGGGTTTTGGATGCATGGCTTCCATGGCTGCGATTGCCTTCGTTTCCCAACGTTTTTAAGCAGTTTGGGGTCCACTTCATGTACGGGCTACACAGGGAGGGTAAAAACGGAAATTGGCTCATGAAGGCATTGTGCAACTTTGTGCATAACATGGCTAGAGAAGACGATGGTTGTGCTGCTGTGGTGACTGAGGTGAGCCAGAGGGACCCAGTTAGAGAGGCAATCCCACATTGGAGAAAGTTGTCGTGGGAAGAAGATATGTGGTGCGTTAAGAAGCTTGCTGATCAAGCAAAGCAAGGAGAGAAGAGGACATCATCTGATGACGGCCAGTTTGATTGGATTAACACTCGATCTTCTTCATCGGTGGTTTTTGTTGACCCACGTGACTTCTAGCATGCATATATATGTACTCATATCATATTGAGAAGGAAATAAAATGTTCATAGTTATACTTGTATCTTCTACTTCTATAGCTGCACATAAATGTCTCAAATTGCAAACTACTACTAGGGGAACTAGTCGAATACGGAATAATTGCTATAAGAGCAAGTCCACCCGTTTTGTCATGGCAAGGGGCAGAGGTAGGATAGGGTAGTTACCATTCACTCTTAATAGTAAATGACTTAAAACAAGCCTATTCAACCTGTTCGGGCAGGAATTTCACTGGGAAAGGTCCCTGGCTCGAGCACACAACTCCCCGACGAGTTGGCACTTTAGTTGGTTGTCGAGCTCCTTCTTGCTGAGAGGCTAAAAGAAGACAACAAAGTTAGTTCTGAAAGGTGCCTTTGTAGGGCCTGAGGTGTAGGCTTTGAGGCTCACAATCAAAACTAGCTAAGTGCTTAGGCATGCCACTGCCATCTCAGTATGGCAGATGTAGAACAAGTGTGTTTAAGTCGATTACTTACGCCCCAAGTTATTCTGACTTCTTGTTATCAAAGGATTGTCATAGATGGGTTAAGTCTACATTAAGTTATTTTCTATTCCTTAAGACCAAGGACTTTTAGTTTATTATCTTGTATGCTTTAAAGGGTGAAAGTTCAGATCTGGCTTAAGCCATCAGTCTAATTCCCATTCATCTTTTATGATAGTAAAACCACTAAGTGAACTAGAGCTGAGGACCAATGGAGCTTCTGATCACTAAAAGACTGGAAATAACTTGAATATATACTATGGAATACATCATAATACCAGATCTACTAATGGAAAGACGAAACAAAGAGAGTCGAGCAAGATTTCACCGTGTCGGGCTAGGTTGAACGTCTTGCAGTCTCTTCTCATTGTGATTACAAAAGGTTGTGTGTTTGGAATACATGGATGGTAAACAAGTTTACACGAGAGAATCGATACTATGTCACTAGGGGTGATAGCAGAGCTTTAAACTAGACAAAAGATGGCTTTTTGTAGGGAATCATCCTGAAAAGGATTGAAATCTGGGTTGATTATAGCTTTTAGATGCAAATCTAGCTTGAGAGCAGAGTTTGTATGTTTGTTTGTTTGATTGGTTGAGTGTCCTTGTCTCTGGGCCCTATTTTCCCTTTTATAGGCAATGATCTTGGTTGTTGCAAGCTCTGCTCAAAAGCACTTCAATGAGTCATCATTTTTTTTTACATGTTTTGCCATTCAGAAAGTGCTTTTATGCTGAGAGTAGGTTGATTTCCATCGGTTGTCACTTCCCTGGTAAGCGCCTAACCTTTGCATTAATGAGGGGCCGTCATATTGTCATTGAGATGGATGGATTGGGCTGGACCTCGGGCAAGTCTCATTTCTTTACTCTTTTTGGGCTTTCTTTCCTTTAAGTCCAAAGTTTAAATATTAACCTAAACAGTGCCCTCTTCAATCATTGTTGAGCCTACAACTCAAGGCGTAAATAATGATTAAACAGCCGCCATCGTCGCACACCTTTACTAAGAACTTATGCCCTTTTAATGTAACCGTTTATGAATTGGACCCTTACACTAACCGACGATCTCTATTATTAATCAACTATTTATTACATAATCCCTTTTTAATCCCTTGGTAAAATACCTTAAGTCATTTCAAACCATCAATTTCTCGAAACTTCCCATAATTCCCAGAATTCCTAAGAACCTAAGAACCTTTCTTGTTTTCGGCTTCTTCCTTCCTTCTAACTTAAATTCTTCTTATCTTTTTTTTTTTCAAACTCAATCAATGGCCCCAAAAATCACCCAATCTCGACCAACCACTCAACCTCGATCTTCTTATGAATCTGGTGAGGGTATTACCACTCTGCGTCGTTTGCTGAACAGCCTTCATCGCCCTCAAACAAGCTTGCATTCTGAACTTTGCTTTGACAAGGGGGGAGTACACTCACTAGGACCTGCATGGACTTCTCAAATTTCAATTGCAGTAAAGACCAACATGCCTAAAGCTGATTGGTTTACTTCGAACCCATTTATGGCTGAGTCGAGCATTTCCTCTTCTAAGTGGTCAAACCACCGCCGTGACTTTTCTTTGATGAATGATGATGCCTGGGTTAAGTGGATAAATGAGCTCGAGCCTATCTTCTAAAGGAAATGGATGAATAATGACATCTATGAACTGATAATGCTCTCAAAGACCACCATGGTTGCTAAGCCTGAGCTACTAACCACCGCTCTCGTTTTTTGGAACTCAGGCACCAACACCTTTGATTTCAGGATGGGCCCCATGTCTCCAACCATCCTAGATATGGTGCAAGTCTTTAGGCTGAGACCATCGAGCAGAATCGTGGTTGTGACTCATGACTGGGCTTCACCTTTTCGTCCAACTGCTAAGAGTTTGGGTACTATCTCTCATTCATTAGTAAGCAATGATAATCTCCCCCAACAATCAAAGGAAGTAACTCCTCCTCCATTTCCTTCCAAGGTTTCGGGCTTAATTCAAGTATATCGACTTTTCTTACCTTGTCTTCCCTTAACTTGGCTGTAACAAGGTTCTGGAGAAGGCTCGGGCAAATCTCCACCGCACAAAGTGCATAAAAGAGATCTTCCTCGTCCTCCTTTGGTTCCTAGGATCACAGGGATCTCCGTCCCTGAGCTTGTGAAAAAGGCAAGCCAAGACTACTGCAACAACTGCTTTCATTCCTGCTTCTGCAATCTTTTCTACCCTTCTAACTGAGACTGCTCCTACTACCACGACTGAAGGTGTGAAAGACGTGCCCTTAGCTTCATCAGCATCATCCTTGCCCGAACTGGTAAAGAAGTTCGGGCAAATCAAAACTAAACTGCAATCACCTTCAACATCTTCTGAGTCTCCTCTTCTTCAAAATGCTCGTCAAATCTTCAAGGATTGGATGAAAAGGGACTTCACAGCTTCTTTGAGCCTTGAGATTCTCTATAACGTAGAGAAGGCCCTTATTAAGCTCTACAAAGCTCAGTTGCTATCCGAGGCTCAATATGAATCTTTTCTGATTTTCAACATCATAAGACGGAGCGGGCATCAAATAGAGTGAAGTGCTTTCAGGAAAAATATGTGAAGAATAGAGCCACTCTTCAACAGTTGGTGGAAGAAGGGTCAGTGATGGAAGAAAGGATTACAGTGGTGGATTCTGAAATCCAGCGTTTGGAAGAGCAGTTGTCTTTACTCAGAGTCGAGAAAGTAACCCTTACCAACAGTCTTTCCCAAAAAGTTGAAGAAATGGAGAAGATTTCTCAAGATGTTAAGGATTCCAAGGACCAACTTGTGAATAGTAACATGTATTTAGGAGAACAAGGCCAAATTTTCATTATCATGCAAACTTATTTCTCTCGAATAGTTGCTCTGGCCGAAGATGTAAATTTGTTAGACTAAGATTTCTATAATCCTTTCATGAAATGAATTATTCTTCTATTTTAACTCCATTTTTCTGAACTTTTAATAGTAGAAGTCTATCTCCACCCTTCTTATCTTGGTTTAATCTCCAAATTTGCCCGATCTTGTTTCTAATAAGCCACTGGTCTGGATAGGCCTTGGATCTTCCTTAGTTCCCAAATCAATGGTTTCCAAGGGGTCTTGTGCTTCTGGTGGTGGCTTGTCAGGTTTTGCGCATAAGAATTCAACTAACTCTGGATTCTCGGGCAAGTCTTCTGGTCCATCTAGGTCATATACACATTCAACCATTTGTATGGCTGCTTCCAACTCCTTTCCAAAAAGCTCCTCTTCACTCTGACTACTTGAGGCTTCCTCCTGGTGCCCTTCTACCTAGCTCTCTCTTTCTTGCTTTCTCTCTCTTTCATACACCAACAGTTTTTAGATTAAGGACCTGATTGCAACTACTTGGTCCTTCATCTTTGTTCTAACATCACTGGTGTTGGGGAGTTAGGATTATATGGGTTGGTCCCATTTGGGGGAGTTAGGATTATATGGGTTGGTCCCATTCTTATTCCCTTATAAGGAACAACCCTTGTTCCAAAAGCTTTTGGGTCGTCACCTTAGTCGGGCAGCCGTTCTCACCAGCTCCTAAACACTGAAGAATCCCAATGCTAGGATTATAAAAAATGGCTTTGATAGGAGCATGTTTATGCAACTTTGTTAGCTTATTTCCTTATATTTAGTGAGTTAGTTTCTATTTATTGTAGTGATTTAAGCTATTTTCGTGTGTTTGTAGTTCCAATTGACTAAAGTGGCAAGAAAAGGCAATTTGGAGCATTTTAGAGTAGTTTTGGGCTTGGAATGGTTAACACATGCATGGAGCAAGATTGATGGACGAAATTGAAGTTCAGGAAGGGCTAAGAATATGCTAAAGAGATGGAAGAATTAATTCAAGATAAAGAAGATATGGATCTCAGCAAAGAAAGAATGAATGTTAGCCAAAGTTACCTTATTTTGTCATTTCCCTTTCCTAATCCTTCACCACCTAGGTTTCAGCTGCAAAAGAGGATCCTTAATTATTTTAGGACACTTAAATAATGATTCTAGAAGACCTAGTCCTATCTCCTTTCCTTGCCGCACCACCTTTCCCTTTCCCTTTCCCTTGCCGTGCAAGGCAAACACCTTTCGCCTTTTCTTTTCCTTGACGCACCCTTGTTACCCTTTTCCTCTTGGATTCTGACATTTATTTACCCTTTTTCCTTGAGGATTTGGAGAACAAATCTTTCCCAAAAATTAATTAATTAATGCCTTGCCTTTAATTTAAGTTTTCCTTGTTTAATTGCGAACATAAGGAGCTAAACTCGTTTTAGCTAGAGGAGAATTCAAAGCCATGAACATATTTGCAATATGAATTGATTACTTATAGTTGTGATTTCATAAATCGTGAATGCAATTTACTTTACTGTTTGATTCAGAACTTATTCTTGTTTGTTGATTAAGGATGCATACTTAGTTTGCATGCATGGATTTGATGATAGAATATAAGGGAGTTTCACCTAATTGTTATGAACTTATATTCATAAATAGTGGAGGTTGCTAGTCACAATCATGTTAAGTAAATTCCTGGCAGGAGTATCATGTTGTTCATAGTTAC